AAATAATTGCAAAATCCATTTACATTTTTAATACAATTTCCACACAATACCTAGAGACTTAATAATACTGCAAAGTTATTTCTCTTGACAGTCTTTATAAAGTAAATAAAACAACAGCTCACTACACATATATGTACATAGTACATACAGATACACATAACTACTTTGCAGCAGTAGTAGTTGCTTAGTTTTAATGCTTATAGATGTACGTATATTAAAATTTGTATTAAAATATATATAAAAAAATTACCTCATTACTTTTCAAAGAATTAGTTTTATACGACTTTCATCGCTTTCAGCTTCTACTTTGCGCTCAGGAAAGATCAACATCCTGCGCCATATCTGCAAAGAAAGGATATTATGTTTATTACAAGTATCGATTGTTAAGTACCTAGTAATTTTTAAATGACCTTATCTTCGACCTGATGTTGTTATTAAAAAAAAATTCGAAAAGAAAGATTTATTTTCATTTTGGTACCTACTAGCCTAGACTTATCCTCGCTTGCGTCGCTAGGTACGTCTTTTTCTTTCTAATTCTTTTTCTAAAATAAAAGCCTTAGTTACTCCTTATAGCATCAGCATCTGCACGTGAAAGTTAAAATAAGTTTAGCCGTTTCGGAGATTAGCCGAAACAAACAGACGGACAGATTTTTTTTTTGTTTTTCTTATAAGTAGGGTAGAGTGGGGCTAAAAGGTCCGTGGGTAATAAGGTCCAACATTGTTCCGTCATAGATTTCCAGTATCGTTGTAAGAGGGTCTTGGTGGATTGGAACGTACTCCATGATGCTTAGTGACCTCTGAAATGCTGTTCGGATTGCAAACAGCAGCAAGCAGCAACCTACTCAAAAATGTCCGTAAGTAAAATTTTTCGAATGATTTATTTTTAGTCTGAGAATTACATTTGTAATATTACATAATTAAGTTTATTCTATTTATATAGCTTACAATATAAGTTTTTACGAACAAGCCAAGCCAAGCATTCCCATCGTTTGTTCTTGTGTTTCTTGCGAATATGAATGCGAATGTCAAAAAGTATGCGAATATTCGGGAATCCGCATGAAAATATTCGTTACATCACTAGTACATTCATTTGTGTAATGAGAGATTTGTACTTCAGTCATAAGTGTTTGTATTTATAATATGTATGTATGTATGTAGTTACATATGTGTAGCGTATCATCTATCTGTAATCTGGTATCCATAATATAAGCCTCGTAGCTTACTATGAAACTACTTTACTATTACAAACAGACAGTCAATTTTATTTGTCTAGATAAGAAAATTATTATGAAAAGAAATATGAGCAAACTTTAAATCATCTTTATTCGTAAGAAGAGTATGGTGAAAAGTGTGTTCTGAAAGGAATACAAGAGAAATAAATAACCATACGTTGCGTAATTTCAAACCCAACTTTTTTTTCGGTATGACTAAGTGACTTACAGAATGGTCTCGACTACCTGCGCTTGCGAGTTTAGGATGTAAGCATACATGCCGAATTAAAAAAAAGACTCTTCTGTACAAAAAGCTGTTTTTTTTCTTTTATAAATATCATTCTCAGTTTTTGCCTTTTCCTTTCAATAACTTGAGAACGCGTAAGCTTTTAAATACAGAGCAATCAATATATTTTATAGCACTATCCATTGAATGGCAGTTAAATACATTTACAGTTTCCTTTACGAGCTCTCTCTCTCTTTGATATATTATACTTGACAAACTCGAAATGCTTTAAAAATAATTAATATTTAATATTGTAATCATTACTAAAATCAAAAGAAATAATAATAAATAACAGAGTATATTACAATAAGATTAGATAAAATTATATTATTATATTTACAATTTTGCTATAGGAACCCTATGGTTATTAGTTATTAGAATATTTAAACAAAACATCTGGCATGCGGCATATAACGTTGATAGAAATGTACAAAGCTGAGGGTAAATACCCGTTATATGGACGAGTGGACGACAGTGGACTCGATGCGTTCGTGGTCACGTTAGCTATGTTAATTGCGTGTAGAGCCGCTCTACTTGGTGTAACGGAACGTCGCCTTGCGTGGTACGGTGTTCGCTTTTTTTGAGACTTTGCATACATGATCAGAAAAATAGATATTTAATTAAAATTTATATGACAATCCTAACAAAATAATAAATTACTCAAATCGGTTTAATTTTCTTTTTAATATCAAAATGAAAAAAAACGTAGCATCCGTTCCAAAGCCTGCTTTAAATCGATAGCTACTATGTATAAATACGACCGTTTTGTATGCAAATGTTGTCCATTATAATGAGCCTATAAGATTTCTAGTCACGTAACATGGAACTTAAAGTTCTCAGTAGCGTATGTATCAAGTCAACAAATCCTTACAAATATTATAAATGCAATTTTGATTGTTCGTCTGTCCTTTCTTTGTGCAGAAATAGACCGACGTCTCTATCGTGTCGAAATGTCTAACGGTTCTGAAAGCATCAGACAACTTTTTACCTCGTACCTACATACGTTTACGGATAATATGCTATTGAATTTTATCTTATTTTTGGTCGTAGGCTAATAAACAATCACTAAAGTACGCGCGGGGTGGAGTTATGGTCTGGAGCACGAAGGCTAAAAAAACAAAATGTTATAGGGAAGATTAGTTAAAATAAATTCAGAAATATCCACTAGCCTCTATTACGACATTCTAATATAAGCATTAACTAAAAATAATAAGTTTGACTCACTTAACTTTCGTACCTCATTCGCCAACAACTACCTAATTGCTTATAATAAATAACTGAAACTGTTATGAAAGTGAAATCATAAATACCTACTACTAACATATTGAAACCTGTTTATAAAATCATGTTATTATTAGGTATACTACACTGCATAAGTTGAAATCTTTGTTCTTTAGATATGATATGTATGCACTCAAATGCTTTAATATCGGTGTGTTTTGTGTAGGCAAGCTCCAAAGATATTTTATTGTTATCTTGCAAATAAAAATATTAAATATTAAAGAAGTGGTTAAAATCGAACACTATCAAATATATAACCAACTATGCCTTGCAACGTAATTTATAACTTCCAGGTAAACATTAGGTGGGCAATGCTGTGGTCAAAGCTACTTTATAATTTTAAATATTTGTGTCTAGCGGATACCAGACTTTTAATTGTTATTATTAGTAAATTTAATTTCTGCCCGTGGCTCCGTTCACTAAAAACAAACACACACACACACAACACACCCACCCACACACCAACACACACACACCCACACACACCCACACACACGCACACACACACACACACACACACATGAACATATTATTAAGAATTAGTTATCATATCAATGTTATTAGCTAAGCTTATACTTTTACATCTCCCTTAAACATTTTAGTAACGTTAAAATAAAAAATAAACAGCAGGTGGTTAGACAATTTAACGAACTTCAAGGAATTTTTCTAGGCATAATATAGATAACCATAAAGCCTCATAAGTATTCGTAAATTTACTCTAACGTTTAATATAACGGATCAGTAGTGCGAGAGAGATGAGCTTTCTTCACATGCCGAGCGTTGCGTGTATCAGCGCGGCAGTTACACTCCACGTCACACCGTTTACTCTTAACGCGGAGCGCATAATATCTTGAGAGTAATAATTAATATCCGCCCTTACTCCTTAGTTTTTATATTACTGTCATAGATTCCCCAAACGCTAATAAAATTCGAAAAAATAAACAATTAAATAAATACGAATGTATCAAAATGTAGACGAATTATTCACACATTTATTTTAAACATAATGAATAAGTAAACTAAGAAAAAAAGCAGTCATGAGGGCTGCCGAAAGAAGTGAAAACTTAAAACCATAAACAAACAATTGTTATATTTGGATATTCAAATTAATTGATTGTACTTCAATTAAAATTTGTAAATTAAAACTTATCGTTTATATTTATCTGGTTTTGATATCAATCGGCACTCTGAGTGTTTGCGTTAACACGTCACGTGACCATATCGATGACAACTTACATGAAATTACTCCCCATCCAAACTTCCCTATAGAAGCTTTCACTTAGAACAATTTATGATGACTTTCAAGTATCAACATTCGGTATTCCACTACACAAGTAACGACAAGCTGTAATTGCGTTAATTCCATGAAATGCACAGTTTAAAAGTCAGGCGTCAGCGCCTCTCGTTTTGCGTCACTTGAGAGAGAAAGGGAAAGATAGCGTTCACTCCAGCATGCGCGCGCAATTTTTTACCCACCGAGCCGCAACTTGTTGCCCTCCTCACGTCGCTCGGCCCTACACTGGAGCCGTTCTATAGAACACCATAATGCTTCTACGCCAACGCGTCAGTCAGGCCTTGTTTGTATAATATAACGAAAATCTTACCCACTCTGAAAACTTGCCCTCCCGTTCGTAGTTATGAATTTAAACTTAAACAGATTTCTAAAAAGTTAAGTTGAATTATATCGAAAGAAAAATAATTAATATGCGTTAGTGGCTCTGCGCAGTTCTGAACAGGGCAGATCATGAAGAACTAGCGCATTGCAGTGAATTTGCTACTTAATCTTACGAAATTCATAATAAAATTTTGAACAAACTTTTGAAGTAAGTTTATATTTATTAATTTACACTTACTACTTAATACTTTACCTATAGGCAAAACTATTAATGTGGTGATCTATAAAGATTATTCATCAAGAATTGTCTTCAGATGAATATATTGTAGTTGTTGAAATGAATTGAAATAAACTTTCAATTCAATTAGACTTATTACAAGTGCTTTTGTTAGAAAACATCCTATATGTTTAATAAGAGTGGCAAAAGCGCATCGCTTACAATGTAGTTTAATAGTAAATAATAAAATATCTATGTGTATATATATATATATATATATATATATATATATATAATTGGGTATAACAAGCTGAATACTTCGGCAGGTGCAAAAACCTTAGTACACGTGGTTTAATAATAGCAAGGGAGCCGCTAATTTAAGAGGCCCATATGAGGCAGACTGGTCATTGGCACGAACGACGGGGTCTTCGTCCGCTTTGCAACTTGGCAATAACTGACCTAACACTAGACGCGTCTTCACCGCAACACGAGGGCCGCATTGCACCTGGCGAGCGAGTTGCCTGTTTTTATACAGCGATTCTATCTGTCGGTTGCAGTTTTATTTTAATAATGCTCGCGCAGATGGCGCGAGCGCAGGACACGCTCGCCCCAGTGTCGCGACAGTGCACCCTATGGCAGGCGCACAGGGTACATACAGTTAGCGCCGTGCCACTCCCGTGTTCCGAGTTGTAAACAAACCGGGCGAGGGCAATGGCTGCCTGCCACTCCCCGCGCTCGTCGCGCCGACGACGCCATTCAACCGGGAAGTTCACGCTTTATTTTTAGTTTCATGAAGCGGACTATATCGTATTATAAAATATAACGGAATTTGCCGGCCTTTGGCTTTTTGGCCCAAAAAATCATGTAATAGTGCTTTCCCCATTTTTTATTGATGATATGCCAGGTTAATTTTATTACTAAGACCATGCGTTAAATTTTAATTTTATACCCGTATGACAATTTTAATGTTATCCAATTCATTCAACTTTAAATGTGTTGAAAAAAACATATTTGTATATTTTTGACAAAAAACGTACATGTACATGCTATAGATATGAGCATTAAACCGACGCCTTGCTATCTACGCTAAAGATGTAAAATCTTTAGTTAAAAGATATAGTAACAACTTACAGTTATTTAAACGAAGGGTCATCACTCATCATAATCATCAATAAGAACTATGCCTGGTGTAAATATTGGAGGTCAATAGCCTTCTTGCCATATAGGAGGAACTTTTTCAAACGTTGTCGTCATCGCGATGTTTTACGCGTGCAGGTTTGAACACTTCCGCCGTGGCGACGCGTCATTAACGGCATTGACATTGGATATATCGAGGTTCTACCGGGTTCTGAGACCAAGAGCATGATACTACGGTTTTTTAAATTGTTGTCTTCAGCAGCGTCGGAGGCTACGGTTGTAGCGGAGGCGGTTGAGCCGAGTCAATGACCCGAGGGCGAGGAGGGCGCGGGAGGGTGCGCACGCAGCGGTGCCCCGCCTTTATTTATTACGCTACGCGCGGTGCGCTCGGCGCCGGCAACGCCGCGCGGCGGGGCGGAGGCCGCATTCCGGGCGGCCGGCGCCGGGGCCCGCCGGGCGTAGCTAAAATAACGCGCCCCAAACTATCTCGCAAATCGCCCGACGTCAGTATCGAGTCACACTTTAAAATAAGTCATCTCGAAACTTACTCGAATTCAGGAGCGAAAGGCGAACACTTGCGTCAACCCCGTACCACTGTCTCTGCGCACTGGCAACATATTCACTGTCCGTAACAATCGAATTTGGGTCCAAATGAGCGTGTTGATTTCACGATATATTTTTTTATACTATGATCAAGTCAACACAAAAGTTCACATGGCGCGCGCGAACTCTCCTTGCGCCTCGGACGATCACGCGTCAAGGCGGTTGGCGATATGACGCATTAGTGAGCGCGCGGCGCGGCTTCACAGTATGCGCAAGCAAACGGGGCGGTGGAGCGGAAGCGGGGTCGAGGGAGCGACTCCCCACACTCCTCTGGCTCGGTGCTGCCCTCTGCTCCGGGCTCATCGACCGCGCTCGCCCTCGCCGCGGCCCCATACTGCTGCCATGGCATGCTACTCACGCTGTAGCGGCTGTACCGCAACTAGGAGAATTCCCGCCAGGATATTCGTCCTTACACATACTAGAATGTACTGTCGACACTTTATGACTTATGTTTAACTACATTTCATATTTTTATAAAAATCTTTGCACCTAGATATATGAATGAAATCACAAATGAATGTCGATTATGATCTTAATCAGAAAATAACGCATTTTTAAAAACATATATTCAAGTATTTCAGTCGTAGGGTTGTACGTTTAGCCCTACTAATAAAGCCTAAATTAATAATTTTGTAACTCTACTATATATACGCATAAGTGTCATAAATCGATATCGTCATGATTTGCAGTGTCAAACTGGGTTCGCCCTGCTCCGATCTTCGTACCGCGTGGTGAGCATTTCGTTAACGGGCCATAGTTCGCACGTTGCCAACGAAAGCCGCCCGACAACTGACATGGGACATACGACGTGACTACGAACGATCACGTAAATAGCATGCTACATAAGAGTAATTGATTAGAGAGAAGGTATCCTTATGTGAAATTGGTAAATAGTAAAATAAATAAAAAAACCTAATAAAACATTATATTTAATCCATCAGATTATCACACTTTGGATACTAACAAGTAACAACTGTAATTGTCACTTACAGGCGCCATATATAGTTATAGTTAGCTTAGGTTAGTAGTATATAAACCAATGAATAGAATCGTATCTGTAAACTTTAATTTTTTTGTATTTAAAACAAGTGTCGTAGGAAAACTTGGAGAGCAGTAAAACTCTAATCGCTATAATTATAATAGTTTGTCTGTCTATTAGTCGACAAGCGTGCCTGACATATAAATTGGATTTTTATTTAAAAAACGTTTAATAAAAGTAAATAATTTTGACAAAAAATAGCTTTACTGACAAAGTACCCAACTCCAAAGCAATATGTTGAACACTCAGTTATATTCATATTAAACTATAAATAATTTCGCTATCGTCAATAATTATAATTAAATATAATCTCTGATTGCTAGGTCCAGGTTCAAGTAAATGTCCTTTTACGCGAGATAAACTTAGAAACTAGGTATTAGTTGAAATAATAAGAATAATATTTAGTTTCGATATTTGAAAAAATATAATAAATTTTGAACATGGGACACTAATTAATATTCGTGTAAGTACATTGTACTATACGTATGTCTGTATTGTACCCAGCCGAATCTACATAAGGTTCGGCTGGATACTGGATATATCAGCTTTGATATTGGTCCGGATAGCGGACACTGAATTTTTTATGTCTAAAAAACCTTTACAATTTGGCAGTTATTTTATTTAACATTTTCTTCTTCACTTAAGGACTTAATATAAATTATTGTTCAAATAAATAAAGTTTTATAACAGGTTAAATGGTAGCATTAAATATTCTTCAACAAGTTTTTGTTTACTGTGGTAAAAGAAACCACATCATACGTAAAAAAGTTTGTCTTTTTGATCGTGCATCGTCCGTAACCGGCTGGATGAATTTTATTAGGACTTTTAGTAATCTAGTCTGTATTACGTTACGAAGTTAAGTTTCATTGCAGGCGATTGAGTTTATATAGAACATTGAATTATTCGAGTCATACACAAAGCAGAGTTTCGTTTTTAGTGGTGTCGATTCAAAATTAAATAAATAAGAGCTTGAAACCGTAGGAAGTACCTAGTTATTTTTTTATAAAATCGATAGGTAGGTACAGTTAACTTATAATAACAAACTGAAAAAACAGATCGACATATTTTTAAATTAAAAATAAATTATACTGTATATCTCGCGTCATCTAAAAAGAACGCTGGCTGTCAAGCTGCGCAGAAGCGATTTATCGGTCAACTTGGTGGTAAGAAGCGGGGCGCGGGGCATCGGGGCACGCGCCGCATGCTTGCCGGCGCGCTATTGGTTCATCAGTTCGAAATACCATCGCGCACACAAAAGTTTTTAATTACGAAATGGTTTTATATATAAAAAAGAGAAAAATTGTTTTTGACGTATATTGTTTTACAAAGAGAGAGTCTAATAATAATGCAGTTAATAATAAAAAAATGTATTAAACGTATTAATTTAATTTTGTGTAAGTAGATTAAACATTCTGCACTGAATTAAACATATTTTAATAATGAATAGAATTCTATTTTATGATATTCTATCTTATACGTTTTTCAATGTCCCTACCAATAACTAATATATGAAACCGCGAGCGAAATGCTATGAAAAATAAAATAATAAGCTTAGTGCTTTTGTGCGCCAGTATACCCATGCGCAAACATACCCTCTCCACTTTCTTCCAGCGTTCTTTTTAGATGACGCGAGTTATAGATTTGCAATTTTTCATTTAAAATTTCGTCTCTTTTTTTAAACACGCTTTTATTATTTATTATTATACTAGCAGAACCCGCGGCTGCGCTCACGCTAAAACTAAAAAACAATTTTTAAAAAGGTAGTTTCATACAAACTTTCATCCCATATTTATACCCCCTTATAAGATGAATTTCGGAAAATGCTAAAACACGTATTTATTTAATTTTATTGAAGAGCATTAATACCAAGTTTCAAGTAATTCTGTACATGAAGTTCAATCACAATTACTCGATGAGTTTCGTTCGAAGATATTAGCACATAACAACATGTAGTAGGTACCACACATAGACTTGCCGTTTCGCACTATATTTTAGAGATAACAACAAAAAATATTAAAATATGAGGGTAGATTAATCTTGCTGTACCATCACCTGCCCGACGACGATGTCATTTAGTTCAGAGAGCAGCTAGGAAGGTATTTCACGGCTATGGGTAAAGGCTGAACTGCCGCGGAGGGAGGGATGCTAATATCTTCGAACAAAGCTCAACGAGTACTGCCAGAAATATTTATATTTTTTAATATAGGCAGGTCGAAAAATCTTTCAATCTTTCACTCAATATCCCTGTGACATTTTCTTAATGTTGTCTGAAGAGCGAATGTATTCTGCTTATACGTTTTTTCATGAGTCACAACTATTGCTACAATTATTTTGTTATGTTAGTTAAGTGTGCGCATTGCATCCCGCCATTACATTGTATATAAGATATTGCCGTAGTATTATAATTTATAATTATTAATACGTAACAATATATGGCACTTTTCGAAGTACTTTTCAAATACATAAGTCGTAAAAACTATGTATCTTTAAATATAATCAATACCCATAGGCCATTCTTACTCATTCCAAGATTCACTAGCAGTATTTTGTTCACCTGCGGCCCCCTATCCCGTAGTTGAGGCATCGGTAAATATTTTTAAGGCAGACATAATACACATCAATCACTTTTTATTTTATAAATAGAATGGTTTATAGCATTTGACCATCAATCTATATACATATAATAAAATTGTAACTTAGCCGAATCTGTACATTAAATATTTTTTGGAAAATCTTATTGAAATAAACTTTATTTTCGATATAGAGGCCGAATCTAAAGTTTTTGAACTTTTGTCTGTCTGTCTGTCTGTTACCGTATCACAGAAAATCCACTGGAGGCATTTTGATGAAATTTGGTATGGTGATAGCTGGTTATCCGGGTCTACATATAGGACACTGTACGCGGGAAAATGTCTCATTTCTGAGAAAAAATAGAAAAACTTAAATTTAAAAGTATACTAATATGTAAAACATAAGAATTTGGTTTTTGGTCATCTGAACGCGGGTGGAGCCGCGGGCAACGCTATCTTAAATAAAGGTTCAATTATTTACTAATATATAAATAAATAGGTACACAACGTATTTATCATAATTTTCTTTAACTTTCAAAATTTTGCATCCTTCGAGTAGACATAGTCTTGCCCAAAATATTATTACAAAGAATAAAACATTTTTTCTATTCCACGTAACATTTATTACTATATATTAATATACATTTATTACATTTATTACAGTGTGTTACTTTAACACATTAATATAAAACCATTAATAATCTATAAAGCTTATTCGAAGTCTTCTGCATTGGCTGCAATACAGTCCTTTAAACGTTGAGGTCTGTTATCAATAGAAGCACGCACTCTTTCCATGGGAAAGTTCTTCACTGCCAATCGTATGGATTGTTTTAGGGACTCCAATTTATCATGGTACGTAGAGCAAGCCGTACTCTTTAAAACTGACCATAAATCATCCAGCGGATTAATATCGGGACTAGATGACGACCAGTCTTCAGCTCTGATGATGTCCGGACCGTGGGTTTCTAACCAAGATTGCGTGGATAGAGCTTTATGACCCGGCGTCGAGTCTTGCTGAAAGGACCATTCTTGGAAATAGTGTTGTTAAGGGGCTTAACTACTTTCAGACCTTCTCAAGAATGGTATCTTGATACACTTGTGCCGAGGTTTTGATACCTTTTTCACAAAAATAAGGCTCAGTCACTCCTTCATAGCTTACACCCATCACTGAAGTATACTATGTAGTGTTGACTAATTGGGAAGCGTCCTTAGAGCTTTGAGCATAAATACGATCATTTTGTTTATTAAAATATTGCTCAATTGTAAAAAAAATCTCATTCGTAAACAAAATTTTTCTATGACCTCCCTTTGCGTACCGCTTAAGTTTTTGTTTTGATTTTACCACCCTATTCTTTTTTAAATTATCAGTTAAGAAATGAACAGTGCGTCTCTTATAAGCTGCAAGTCCTAAGTCATCTTTCAAAATGCGCGACATGGTTCTAGGTGCTATCTTCATGTCCCGAGATAAAATCTTTTGCTTTCGGACAGGATTTCGTCGAATTCTTTCCCTTACTGCTTTGATCGCCTTTTTCATACGAACACTACGTGGACGGCCAGTTCTTTTTCTGTCAAAGACAAATGAGGTTTCATTGTACCTATCAAAAGCCTGGTACACAAACATTTGACTGCGTATGGAGAGTTTTAAAAATTTTTATTTGGTTCCATACCTACTTTGCGTAATGCAATCACAGCGATTCGGCTCTCTTTATCACCTCACTCTATTTTAATGTCACAAAATATTTTACAATGTATTGGCGCGAAAATGAGAAAACATAATGAACAATCATATAAAAATGACAGATTCCAAATTCAAATGTAATATTTTGTTTATTT